CGTGGACACTTGTTCTCTAAAGCAAATTTTTCATAGTGCTTGCATTCTGTAGAACATAGTGGTGAATTTAGCACTTGCACAGTATTGAGTTGGCAGCAGGATAATGTTATTCTGAGTCGCAATGTTGCTTAGTGGCTATCTTTATCCATTCTCTTGAACAAAGCAGATACATCAAAATCGAAGTACCCCAAGCCTTAGTATTAGCGAAGCCTACACTGTCCCTTCAGCGATCTGCATATGTGGAAACCTGCTCTTCGTGAACGTTTTTCAGGAGAACGCCTAGTATTAAATCTGAAAATTGAATACTTTTTTAAAAATATTCTCAGCTGGATACTTTTCACCTGGCTTCCTTGCATGTCTCATAACTTCCAGTTTTGTACTAGTAATAAGTTACCATTTTACAGCCGCTGAAGATCCCCGCCTCTCGCATGTATCAGAAGACGGGTCTGCAAAGCAGGTTAACATTTTGTCGAAGGAGTTATGTTGATGGTCTATCTAAGATATTCCAGGTCGACATTTCTCATAAACCTATTTCATACCGTGAAGCTGTGGCAGAAGGCAAGATCATGGTTGGTTCTCCACTGAACAGTTATTAGCGAAAAAAAAACTACTATACAACCTGTATGGTAGGGTCAGTGTGGAGAGGCGGTAAAAGTCTTCTTAAAGTAGCAAAGCTCAGAAATGAGAAAACTGATGGAAAATGAGTGCAAGTCATTTGCATAGCATCGCTTAGCTACACATCAAACAATAATTTTAACTTACTTTCTTTGATAGAACCAAATGTGTAGTAAAACATCTTAAATTCATAGATCAACCCAAAAATCCATTTGTGATGCTATATTTCTGTTTGCAAAACTGTTTCATTTTGCGAATTTCTTACTAATCCAGTTTGTAAAAACTCTAATTTCAGCTCACTCCTGAGATTGTTCATCAGATTAAGAACAATCTTTTAAAGAAAGGTGATGTCTTGAATGTTGCCAGGATAGCGAGTGTGATTGGAGCAAAATCTACCGCAAGCATCATACCACTTTGCCATAATATTCCCATAAGCTATGTGAATACGGAGTTTCGTCTTGATGAGGTAACGATGATGCCATTTGCTTTCCTCACTGCTTTCTTCTGCAAATATTAAGAAAACTATTGCGTTTTTCAAGGTTACATAAACTAACAACTGTTGGTACCTTGTCGGTAATTGTAATCTATTGAGGTCATTGGTTTTTGATCTTACTGTCCCTCTCTTCATTCTAAGAGACAGATCTTCCTAGTTCATTGTCAATAAATACTGAGAAGAGACAACTTATCGGCTACAGTAGACCGATAGATAGAAGGAGATCGTTGCATCAAACTAACATTTCCAACAACAAAGTGCCTACACCAAGATCTTTTACAGTTCTATATAACACTAACAACTAATGAGGATTTCCATGCCCAAGAAAGGAAAAAATATGCTATTTCTGTCTTATCGATGCTCGACTTTGCAAATGAATCTGTTAAAAATTTTGCTACATGCTTTTAAAAGTACTTTTTAAAGGATTTTTGAGGCTGAATCTTCATAAAGAGAACTGGATTACAATTGAACTTGCAAAGCATATTTTGTAACCATTTTGAAACTTTGATTAGGACGGTGTTTGGATTGATCACCTGATAATGGTTCTAGAGTTCGTAGTCGAAAAAAA